AGAGAGTTTACAGAAAGGCAAGAAGCATCAGTATGATCCTTGACATGTTTCCTCCTTCTCCACTGCTGAGGATGTTCTTATAAATTCATGGTAAACTCTCCGAAAAAATAAAAATATTCATTTCAGTTAGAGCTGAAACAACTATCTGATTAAGCTGTTTGCTCAAAAATGAATTGACAACAAATTAGATTTTTTTTGTTTTTGTGAACAACACATGCCCAAAAATCTCAAGTTTTAGCCTCTAAAATGAGATTTTTGGCTTGTTTTCTGCATCTTCTGTGATATTATACTGAATATTTGGGGTTTTTGGACCACTGATCACACAAAACACATCATTTGATGAACAACTTTTCCATTTTTTCTGACATTTTATAAACCAAACTACTCATAATCTCATCAACCATATATATAGAAGTCATATAATAGCTTATAATGAAAATAACTGCAGCTTTATCTGTGACTTAATCATCCAAGATGTAAATATAAATGGAAAAAATCTTGGGGTCCTCTTATGCAATATCTGGACTCGATAAGTGCATCTGGATGAGGACCACATCTGGATATACATATTAATGTTTTCTTGTTCCTGCATACTCTGTGTCTGATAATCATACATGGATGATATGTATTGCTATGTGCTTTGTGTTATTAACTCTTCCCTATGTTGAATTTAGGGGTCAAGATCCCTCTTCCATGTGTGTGAGTGTTTGTTTTGGTTGGGTTTTATTTAAGCTATATATTTAAGCTCAAGATTTTCAGATGTGAAGGTTTTCTGCTGTTTTAAATCATCATATACTGCATATCTTTGGGTTTTGGGCTGTTGGTCGACACCGGAAAAGGTCACCTCAAACACTGTGTGATGGGCTTTTTCTACAGTTTTCTTTTGACATCTCAGACTAAATGATTAATCATAAAAAAATACAAATAATTCGATTATTTAATGAAAATAATAATTCCTTATGGTATACAAATGCAAATTTAGTGTCCTGCATTAAAAAAACTGCATACGTGCTAATTTTGGTGGGGGAAAATGGTAAAAGCCTCATTCATGCTTATCCTGGAGCTCTATCAATGCACTTCATGAATGTACACTGATAAGATGAAAAAGCAGAGAGACTGAAGGGAAACAACAGGAAGACCCAAAGTTTGTGGCGAGCTCAGAGTTTATTCAAAGATACTACGAGCACCTCTAAAGCTCACTGATTACCCTGTTATACTGGACCTTGTTTGTTAAATCCACATGACAACTTTATGTTTTCTGGGGCACAGTAACTGCTCTTCCCAGTCTTTATGCTAGGCTAAGCTAACCTGCTGCTGACTGTAGCTTATGTACAACAGACAAGGGCATAGCAATTATTTCAGAAGTGAGGGGGACAGATTGTCTGGAGTGAGCCGATCTTTTGAATGATTTATTGAAATATTCTCTCCCATTCAAATACACCTCTCCATAGCAGCTAAGAAACCAAACCAAATAACCAAAAACACTTAATGACTAGGAAAAGAGGTCATCTTTAAACATCAGCAAACTGATATCAAAAAACGCATGACTCAACTTTCATGGTTTAATATAAAGAATAAGTGCAGGGTGTTCTGCCTCTCGCTGGCTTGTTGCTGTTCCTTTTTGTTCAAATGTACAGTACATCCTCCCTGCTCAGCGCTTAGAGAGGCAACAAAGGGAACATGCCTCTCTGCTGTGATGACAAAAGAAACAGCAAGTGCACACCTTGTCCGCTTACTCACAGTGGGCACCCAGGAAAACTTGGAAAAACAAGCTTTGACTTGTTAAAATGAATTAAACTGCTGTCAAACTCGATTTATGGTACAGAAAAGTGTGGGGGACATAGGGGACAGACACAGCAGCTGCAGGGGACATGTACCCCACGTATCCCCTGACCGTAGAGTGGTATCGATCTTCTCATCTAACTCTCGTTAAGAAAGCAAATGAGAGAAATTCCCAAACTGTCAAATCAGGCATCATGTCAGAAAAGAAAAATAACAAGTTTTTTTTTAACAATATCACAATTACCAAAATACAAAATCAATTAATCTCACAATACATACATCTTCAACTTGACTCCTCATCGTCACTTTACCTTTAAGTACAAAGTGTCACCACCTTTTTGACCTCCCGTCACCTTCACAGATCATCATAAATGTATACAGTGAACACCCTGGTTAGTTACCCCATTACTACATCATGTAGAAAAGCTAAAATTGGGGCTTGCTGGACAAGAATTTTATCCTTATTCAATTCTGCCTCTGTTAAACCAGACAGGTTACACTATCCACCGTGAATACACAGAGTCTTTTCTACATCTTTGTGTCAGACAGCTGCTGGCTCTGCACACTGTGGCCCTTCTTCCCACCTCTCTTCCACCTACAGTGAAGCACCGAGGAGGCGAGCTGGACACGGACACAAACAGCCTCGGGGGTAAACATCAAAGATGCAGTGAGGGGCACAGATGTTCCAGACTGGAGGGACCCTCTTCTCCTCCAGTGCCTTTTTAATGAACCCTCAGTTCACAGCCACACACACACACACACACACACACACACAAATAAGTACAGACACAGCAACAAGCGGCCACTGCGGAGTGAGAATGAGCCCATAATGTTTCACAGACAAAGATCAAAGGTTGAAAAGATTCATTTAGTGCGACTCATTTTGTGGAGATTTAAAAAAAAAAAAAAAAAAAAGAAATATTTCCTGTTGTTTGTTGTGGACGGTTCAGCAATGCCAGATATTTGTTATGGTGGTTTTGTATGGGAACGGCACAACACAGTCTGCTCAAAGTGTCTGTCATTTCCTCTGAGTTCATGCTTCACCTTGTGCCATCGCTGTAATAACTGAGGACGGCGTTGCCTCACATTTTCAAGGGATTGCTCTTTGAGACGGCTGCAGGAAAACACATCGTAATCATATGACTCAAGAGGAGAACAACAGTTCACAGACTGACAGAGAGGGTTTAGGTTATCTTGATCCCAAAGCTGAGACAGTTTGTCCTCTCACCCATGACAAATGTCCAGCCAGCTGACCCGGCCCACAGCATGGCAGCATGTGGGTGCAGCTGCCATGTTATACATGGTATAGACACAGAGCACCTATTCTCTGTAGGGGAACACTCCCTAGGAGATGCATTCAATGCCATTACAGGCATCAAAGGCTCTTATAGTGTAGGGGAGACTGGGGATGGTTGTAACAATTGTCTCAGAACTTGCTGAATTTTTGTGTTAGAGCTCTCAAATTTTGTCCCAGAGAACCCCTATTTCTTGATTACAAATAGCAACTTTTTAAACTTCTCCAATTATATAACAGAATTCACTAACTAATGTAACATACAACAAGTTCCATAAGTAGAACCTGCCCCACTAATGGGTAAGGTCAACACAAGCTGGGGTGTCTAGTAATAATTAGGGCTGCCACGATTAGTCGACTAATCGATGACTAATCGACTATTAAAATAATCGGTGACTATTTTAGTAGTCGACTAATCGGTTTGAGTCATTTTTCATAGAAAAGTATTATAAAAGTACCCCAAAATACTCTTACTGCAGCTTCTTATGTTCAGATATTGGCAGCTTTACACACTCTTCCTTGACTTTGAACTAAATCTCTTTGGCTTGAGTATGAAACAAGACATTAGATGACGTAATTTTGGGGTTTGGGCGAGACAGACCGACATTTTTCAACATTTTAACACATTTTTCGATGAAATGATTAGTTGACTAATCGAAGAAATAATCGACAGATTAGTTGACAATTAAAATAATCGTTAGTGGCAGCCCTAGTAATAATAAGAGTGAGGAATTAAAAATTGCACATTAGCAAAAAATACACATAAAAACTGACACATATTCTGGTAACAAATTCCTACTGAGGTCTAACTCACTAACCTGTACCTGTCAGATGTTTAGTGCCTCACATGGAGCGCGTCCAAAATACCGGTCGAGACATCCTTCTGCTACGCAACACTTTTTAAAAGGGTGTTACAACTGTCCCCGCTCCTGTCAGCCAGTGTTTACCTGGCTGTAACAGCATGGTGGCTTGAAATGATCAAACATGCAATGCCTCACATTCTACTCTCTAATCTAATTCAAGTTACATAATTCTAATTTCAACAGTATCAATACTCATCAAAATATAGACTTATGTAACCAGTGGACTCTAGTGTTGTCTGCGAAGAGACCCAGACTGGAGGCGATATCTGTTTGTTCCTAACAGCAAGTGGCAAAAATGAAATCCTCCGTCAAATACAACCATATAAACTGAAGCCCCTCTCCCATGGTGCACAACAGCATGTTGCATTCAATTAAGCACAATTAAACACAGAAAACATACCTGACAACAAGGGGTAAAAACAAAATACAACCCTATAATTTCAAGCCCCTGCACAAATTAAGTGACACAGGATACTGTCAGCATAAATTGAACTCATAAACATCGCTTAACAGTGCTGACACATGGAAATTACCACAAGAGCAATGTTGCTTACCTCTCCCAGGGAGCACAACAGCAAAAGCGGAGAGGTAAGGTGGGAGACACCCCTTTATAGGTGGGGTACCCCCAAAGGTGAATGTAGGGGTACAGAAACTGAGTATCAAACGTTCCACATATTGAGTATGGAGGCCTAAGCGTGTCAGGTAATAACAAGTGAAACAAATTTTGTGTATTCATAATACTTAATATTACATTTACATTTGGTCCAAAAATAACTTGAATGCCTGAAAATTTAAATTCTGGCTGGGAACTTTGCACAGCTGTGATATTTCACATGCCAGGACAGAAAGTAAGAGGTCACGCAATAACAGTGTTGGGCAGTAATGACATTACTTTTGAAAAGAGTAATGAGTAATCTATTACAATGTTAGAGTAACAAGCCCAACACTGTGCAATAAATAATCTACATGACTCATCGGTCTCTTCTCAGTGAAAGTGGTGCTGTCACAACCGTCCCGGTCTCCCCTACAGGTGGAGGAAACTTACTCTAACTTTGACTCACCTTCTCAGAGTTGATGCTCAGCTTCTTCTCCACGTGCACGTGGATCTCTCCGTTACTCTCCGGCACCGGCGTGGACTCCCTGGGTGTCTCCTCCCGCTCCTCCTCCCCCTGCTCCTCCACCTCCTCCACCTCCTCACCCCGCTTGGCGTGCCTCTCATCCCCATTCACAGTCCCGTCCCCGTCCTGCTCCTGCTCCTTCACCACCACCACCTCCTCTCTTTCCTCCTCCTCCGCCTCCACCTCCTCCTCATCGTCGAAAGGTAACGGGATGCCGTCGCTGACATACTCCTTCAGACACTTCATGTTGTGTTTCTTCAGCAGCTGCTCCGTGTCCGGGTCCACCACGACGAGCTCCAGCCGGCCCACGGTGGCTCGTATCCGGGACACGACCTGCTGGTGGCTCTCGTTCTCCACCTCCTCCCCGTTCACGAACACCAGCCGGTCTCCGGCGCGGAGTCCCGAGGTCTCAGCCGGGCTGTCGGGCTCCACTAACCGGATGAACTGCCCCGTCTTACCTTTCTCCCCGTGGAGGTGGAAGCCGTAGCCGTTGTCCCCCTTCTCCAGCGTGCACAGCCGGGGGCGCAGATACTGGCTCTTGCTCGGCATGTTAGGCTCCGGTCGCCTTCACACTGCTGCTGCTGCTCAACTGTGTCTGATGAGTAAAGTGGAAATGACTACAAGACCTGCTGCTCAGGATGCTGCTCAGGAGGGGTGTGTGTATTTGTGTATGTGTGTGTATGTGTGGTAGGCTACCCCTTCAAAAAAACACAACACATCCAACCCCCGCCCTCTTGGAGTCCGTGGGAAACTGGTGCTGCTGGTGTTTGTCTCACTCTCTGGTCCACCTCCACTCCACACACCCAGTCCAAGTCTGACCTGATCCCTGTGTAAATCCTCAGTGTGACTCCTGCTATCAGACAGACAGAGGAGGTCCCGACCCGAGGAGTGAACCGAGGCTGGTTAAAGTCACACAGCTCCCTCTCAGTGTGCGACAAAAGTAGAAAAGCCACTCAGGAAGAGGGAGGTGCGTTCACGGAACAGCCCAGCTGGCTGCCTCATGCAAAGTAGGGAGGACTAGAGGAGTAAACACAAACTGAGGCTGTCTAGGAAAACACATAAGGATGATGGTCAGAGGAGTACGGAAGACCATTAATGCCAGGCACTGTTTAGTTTAGTTTAGTTTAGTTTAGTTCATTAGGATCCCCATTAGATATTCTTCCTGAGATCCACAACATCTTTACATTTGTGACAGTGCACAAAAACAACTCAAATATAATACAAAATCTAAACTTCTGCGTTAAATCAATGCTGTTGCTATGGCGTAGGCTCTGCGTCGACATGGAGCCTACGCCATAGCCTGACGTGCACCTCCCAGAAATGTAACTACACCTTGATCTCCTGTCTGTTTTTGTAAGTTGAAACCATTTCCCTCAGTGGAAATGAACTTTTATTTACTTTAATTTTAGAGATCAGAAACAATAAATAGTTAAGACAATAAAGCCTCCAAAAAATAGCATTTTAGGTCTTGTGTGTGATTTATCCTGGCTTCATATGAGTAGAGTAAACCTCTGCTCGTCGCTAGGCTAATTTATACAATGTAAAATACCATAGGCTTGTGCTAATAATGTTAGCATGTTATATTTGTTTGGAAAACGTGATTAGTATAAGACAGTTGTTTTGTCAGTGAATGTTGTGAGTTGTAATGGAGCCAAATTTTGTAACGTTACCTTTGTTAAATGTTGCTGTTGTCCCTGGTTTTATATGAGAAGAGGAAAAGGTCGCTAGTTGCTAGGCTAATTTATACACTTGACAAGTGTTTTTTTGTGAACGCTGTGAGTTGTAGTGAAGCTGATTTGTGTACTTGTGTTTGAAATTGTCTCTATTAAGCCATGTTTAATATGTGTTGATGTGTGTTTTCGGTGTGGTTTGAATCAACTGAACTTGCAGCACTTCACAGAAACCTCCACTGCCGACTAATGTTTAGGAGGTGTAACTGCAGAGTGACACAGACACACCACCTCACTGGTATCAATGCTCACAATGGTGTAGGCTACAGCGCAGGGTCTGCCGCATGAGTATAAATCCCACTTAACAGTGAACAAAACAACAGAACGAGACTAAAACGTTAACACAGACAAACAAGACAGCTCCTAGTAATGTAATAAATAAAATATACTTTTTCATGATTACATTTGGTAAGTAACCTCCAGTTTGGGGCTAAATTTTGCTCTGATTACCTGATGATGCTCCATTATTGTAATATTAGATAAAGTATATACAATAATACCATACATTCACATTTGTATGCTTCCCTGCACACATTACATGTGCATTAAAATGAATAGTTACCAAGAAAAACAATATTTTTCACCATGCATGAAGTTCATTACAGTGTATGAATCATATTACATAGGTCAACTTTTGGAAAACATGAAAGTAGATGTCCCTGCACCACAAACAAAGACAGACCCTTCACATCCTGAGACACATGACACAGTCAAACTAACCTTTGATATCAACGAATGAATGAATGAATGAATTAATAGGCTTTGACACCTATACTTTGTCTTCTTATTGGATAATCTGAGTTTTTGTCAAAAGGTGCTGCTTCAATAGAATTTTAAATCTATCTTTATTGTTTTCCTGTGTGATGTGTCGAGGGAGTGAATGCCATTCATGCATACCTCTGTACATTGCTGTACATTTGATTGGGCGTTATGGAACAGCTTGTTATGTAATTGAATTTCAAAATAAATGTATTCAGTTACAGTTAATTAGAAAAAATGATTTAATTAAACTACAGTAACTAATCAAAACTGTTGGTGACTACAAATGGGTTACATCCAAATCTATTCTTCTTGGTGAAAAAGTTTATATGTTTACATTCTGTTGCTTTGCGTGTTTTCGCATGCAAGAATGTCTTCTTTTGACACAGACTATTTCCTGACATTTTCAGCTTTATTGGCCAGTTTAAAACATGTTACATTTTTATCTGGGAAACCAGCAATCTGTAACCTATTACATGTCAAAAGTAATTGCCCCCCATTTTTGTTGTGTGGTGCTTAATTTTATTATTTATTTTAATTTTAATTTTATATTTCTTCATTATTATTATTATTATTATTATTATTATTATTATTATTGTCTGTAAACATTTGTAATGTAAAATTGGTAAAGTTGGTGCATTGTAGCCTCCACATTTTGTCTTATTTTCCCTTTGTGATCAACACCTGTTGCACATTTTCTCACATCGTACATATGTGTAATGACTGCTCTGACTACATCCTCAGTTTTGGCACCTTTTCATTTTACAGCTTTTGCCCAAAAACACTTTTTTCACACTTTAACACACACGCGCATCCCTTCTGTGTTTGTCCTATAGTGTTATTATTTAGCACAGTCTATTATCTAACACATAATGTCTTTATTCTCTGATTCCTGCTATTAAAAGCACTCAATAGCAGAAATTACAGGGAATTTTCCTCCTTGGGGATAATGAAGCATCCATCCATTCATCTATTAAGGTCTGTTTGGCTGTATAATTTGGCCAGAGGGACATGAATTATAGTGTGTTATATTCCACAGTGATTATGTTGTGACCTTATCAAACTCAAAAACATGTCATTTGTATAATTTCCCCTTTGGTTATATTAATTGTAATTCATCATAGTAATGTTGCTTTAAATATATACTCCTGCCACAAATAATATGGTGACTCCTAAGGCTTAGTTATGGCTCCTGGTATCTTCAGATTAGATTACATTTAATGATCAGTACGCACAAATTGGTCTTTTTGAGATCCCTAACAAGAGATTAATTTAATAAAAATGATCAGCATCATTTTAAAACTCCACAGTGTTTTGAAGCCAGTCAGCTCGGACCCCCTCTGGACATTCAGAGATATGAGTGCCTGTAAAAATAGAGGCCGGCAGGGAGCCGCTGTCATAAAACCTTAGGGAGGATTTGACTTTTCGGCTGAGAATGCTTCAGACCTAATAAGAAGACAGAGACAAGATCTCTCAACACTCTCCGACCTGGGAATTTAAAGCCACATTCGGCAGCATCAGCAGTGTGTTTAAGGGGATTCAGCTGTTAGCTCAGTTAATGGGAAGTCATCCAAAGTTGTTTTTTCTCAGTAAAGGACAGACAAGCTTCTTAATGCGTCTGCAGTGTGACTCATGGATGTGAGTGGGAGAGCAGGTGAACTGGTTCAGGTATACAGCCCAGTAAAGTGAATCATGAATGTGCCCCATGTATATAGTGTCCTCTATTCATATCTATGGACTTCTCAATAACTTGTGATACAGTTCCTCAGGCTCTGTCTCCTCCACAGTGGACACGTGGGGTGGCTGGGCTCAGCCATAGAGATAGGGTAAGGAGCTCGGACATCCAGAGGGAGCTCGGAATAGAGCCGCTGCTCCTTCGCGTCAAAAGGGGTCAGTTGAGGTGGTTCGGGCATCTGATCAGGATGCCTCCTGTGGGCCTCTTGCTGGAGATTTTTCGGGCATGTCCCACTGGTGGGAGGCCCCGGAGCAGACCCAGAATGCACTGGAGGGATTACATATCTCATCTGGCCTGGGAACACCTTTGGGATCCCCCAGGAGGGGCTGGAAAATGTTGCTGGGGAGAGGGATGTCTGGGGTGCTGATGAAAATGGATGGATGAATGGACAGTTCGTCATAAGAGACTACTGTCAAAATGAAAATCCTCTTTTAACAACATAGTTAAAAAAATGGATTCAGGACGACTTATACGATTGGAAACAGCAGGTGCCACGTCAGGCTGGAAACCAGTGACCTCTGGAGTTCCGCAGGGATCTGCGCTCAGTCCTCTACTTTTTGTTGTCTATAAATGATTTGCCAAGTGTGATACAATCTGATTAATATCTTTTTGTGGACATCACAAAAATAGAATAATCACTAAGGACACTGACATAGCTCATCTTCAAGAAGACCTTCATAGTGGAGAGGAAGAGAATATTGGTGCGGTGTTACACACAAACATTTCAGAAAACATTAAAAAGGCAATCTCAATATTGCAAAGAAACTTTGAACCATGATTTAAGCCCTGGTGAGATCTCATCTTGAATTTGTGAGTTCAATCTGGTGTCCTTGTGAAATTGAGAGGAGCAAGTAAACTAAATCCAGGTCTGAAAGAAATGTCGAATCCGGAGATGTTAGAAGAATTTCAATTACAAACTCTGGCATACAGGAGACACAGAGGTGATTGAGGTGGTTGAGCTCTACAAGCTTGTTCACAGAATACCGTAAAACTTCAATGTAATGCCCAGTCCCTTTTACTAGCCTGGAGTGGCTATACATTTTGCGCCTGGTCTGGTTGCCAAGCAGTCCTTTTTTAATTAGAAATTCTTTGTATTTATTAAACTGTTTTTTTGTTTTTGTTTTTGTTTTATTTAAACAGGAATTCCCATTGAGCTTGAAAATTTCTTTTATAAGAGAAATCTGGCCAAGGTAGCAGCCAATCAGAACACATTTAAAATGCAACAAAAACCATATATAATACAAAAATCAACAATTCAAACATAGTGGCCTCTCAAGAAAAACAAGCACATGTCTTTGTCACCACGTTCTTTATGATGCCCTTAAATTGTTGGCTACCTAAAATTATGTGTCCATTCCTTGATTACCCTGTGAGTTATTCATATTCCTTTAGTCTGTACAGTAAGGGTCCTCAGATCAAAAGAGGACAAGTTTTGAATATTGTTTTAACAGGATAAAGTGGTGTTGGGTCAGTATGCCGGTTGCTGTGATTTCAAGTACTGTAACTCTGTCGGAGCTAGATCAAATGAATGATTCATAATTGATAAAGATGCCTGTTGATTTCAGTGATTTAAGCAAATAATAGCCTGGGCTATTAATTGAAGTTTTCCGGTATATGATATTACAGCTGAGCCTGTCATCCACCTTTGGAATAATAGAAGGAACTCCTTAAAATTGTTTCCGCTAAGATGTTTCTCAGAAAAGAAAAAAAAAAAAAAATGTCATCACATTTCATGCAGTAAAAGCATGGAAGCATAAAAAGCATGAAAAAGCATGAAATTCTGGCCAATGGGTTAATTACAAAGCTATTTTTTGCTTATCTGTGTAACTATTGTCATCTTAAACATGTATATTGTGGTTTTGTTTGGTTATAGGGTTTGTTTGCTGTAGCTGGAGAGTCTGGTGTGGAGAATTTTAAATTTCTAACTTCACCAAACACATTAATATAACATCGGTATTAAGAAAAACATCACCATCCAGATGTTGAGCATCCTTTGAAAATCCTCTGTCATAAAATACAATAGGCTCTGCTTTACAGTCTCAACATGAGTGCTGCCTCTCTAATTGTTTTTTCTAGTGTAACATAAAAGAGAATAAATAAGGTAGCTGCTGCCACACAGTGGCTCATTAACCTCAGCGCATCCTGTGACTCCCATTGCTTCCCTCTAACACCCCAACACACACACACACACACACACACACACACACACAGAAGACGCACAGACGAGACTGACTTCAATAAAACGACACCACATACATTACAAAATATACTTTTTATATATAATATGATAACAAAGCACTTTTTCATGGCACTTTGTGATCACCGTGACGTCTCAGAAGAAGAGGGACAAATGTGACATTGAGCAAGTTCGACAAGCAAACATTCATAATGAACATTGTACAAAGAAACGAGTTACACGATGCGGTGCATGAACAAATACAGCTTCGGTACAGCCTAGACAACAACATCCATCGTTAAAGGAGACACAAGAATGTTTGGGAGTGCTGTGAGCATCTGTGTGTGTGAAAGGCAGATAGCATGCTGAGGAAACTCAAACCAAAGATGTGAAAATAGTGATAATTATCTCTTTGTATGAAGCCTAGTGCAGCAGTGGGATGATGCTCCAGCACATTTACATGTACAGTACTTGGAATGACGTTTCACTGGCCCTGAATTGAATGTACAGACAGACACACAGTGGGCGAGCGCCCTCGAAAAGTTGGCTTTATTCTATCTAACAGCAGTACAGATGTGAACAGACGGGATCATTATAGCTACAATCTGACTGTGAGACTGAAGTCCACTTCTCAAACACACTGAATTATCAAAGAAGAATGATGAAGACTGTAAGGCCAAAAGGGATTCAGTTCACAGCCTGGTTAAACAGGGATGGAAACAAACTAAGAGCTGCATGGCAAAATGCTATATCCACAACAACAGTCTTATTCACTGTTTATATAAAAACTGCCATTTATCAAGAGTCAGGCCTGCAAACTGCAGCATGAAAAAGGCGACTGTTCTGAGAATATGGCCGAACTTCACTTTGTGATGCGCCGCTTTGAGCTGGGCCAGACAAAGCTGAAGTAGTTAAGTCACTTTGGACTAGGTCACTGAAGCTCAGCAACTGAAACTGTTTCATTACAAACATGAGGTCAAGCAGGGTCCTGCTGTAATTAAATAGAAACTATATACTAAATATTTTTATGCGCTGTACACATTATCACTTAAATTCTTGTTGGCCTATGATGTTAATGAAGTCCTTTTGTTTGTATTTAGAATTATAATTATTATATAATTCTCTTTGCTCTCCCTAACCCTGACAAAACAGGACAAGACTCCATGGTCTATTACATATAAAAATAATGGACGTAGCCACCGTGACGTCACCCACTGGTTTCTGGACTCCTATTTTGATGAGGTCCTCAAGTTTGGCATCTTGTTTTTTTATGGAGGCAGAAGTGACCTTATTTAGGCAAGCTGTAGAGGAGTGAGGGGTGGATCTGACTCATAGAGCTTGTTTATAGATGGTACTAACATGCGTCCTCCTGGGTGATCTGATCACAAGTGGACGGCGCATTCAATGACTCAAACCAGGTGGTCTGGGACGCACTTGATCACATATCTTTTGTAGTGTAAATGCTAATACATCCTGATGTGTCGCCGATAAGCACGTATCAGGATTACATCCTCAGTGGAGGACATTGTGGTTGTTTTGGTAACAGCGTGCTAATGCTCTATAACTTGCTCATTATACAACTAGTTGGATGAAGTGTTGCATGACCATCCATCGTTTCGCCCTATGTGTTAAATTCTGCTGTATCAACACAACCGCTAATGCGACTAGCGAGTATGCTAGCCAGCAGCTAGCAACGTGTGGATATAATAACTGTGCACAGGGCATGTTAGTAAAGATTCTCAGTCATCCAGGTCATGGTAATCGTAAGTGCTATATCGTAGGCAACTGGACAAAACAACCACTCCACAGGCACGTGGCCCTGCACAGGAGAGCCAGCTCCTTGGGTCAAGACTCGGCTGTCCATTTACTGTACATCTAAAGGAAAGGGGATATTCTTTCAGGGACAGAAATGTACACATCTTAGCCCGAGAAGACGATTTGAAAGGGGCGAAAGAAGCCATCTACGTCAAACTGGAATGATCCTCAATACAATGCAATACAATGCAGTCTTGGGATCCTCCCCAGATGACTTAACACCCATTCGCACCTGGACCCATCTGACTCTAATGACTCTGAAACTCTGAGCTCACATGTGACCTCAATGACTCTGCAAGGGCTCACACTCACACACAGTTTAAAGCCTGCAACTCTGCATCAGTCCGTTAGAACTGAAAAAGCCTCTTAGATGAGAGGCGAAACGTCTTCAAGAGACTCAAGCAAGTCCAGCTGCCTACAATGTAGCACTTAAGATGTGCACAGGGATGTTTTACCCTCTAGAATAAGTGACGTAAGCAGTAACGAAATCTGAAAACAATCGGTCACCTGGAGATGCATGATAGACACAGATATGAAGAGAGATCTGTCTTGGCTGTCCACTTGTGTTCAGATCACCACAACACATGTTAAAACCAGGTAGAATCAAGCTCTTAAAGTGTGTTGAACTTTAAACAGGTGAGTTATATAGAAATTCAACCCCAGTACAATCGTCATGAGCAGGGACATTAGCTAAAGAGACCAAAACCATTTTTTGTACCAGGCTGTAATCATGTTTTTTTTCTGGCATTTTAACATTGGGGTTTATGGGGATTGATTCGCTGTTGGAGCCAGCTTCAAGGAAGTGCAGTTTTTGGAACTTCTGCGTTGGCTTCATTTTCTCGTAATGACTAGATACAGGACCCAACGATGGTGCCTATCCAGTCCAATGATAATTGTTCAAGAAAAGTTTCTAGCTTCTGGGTTGACTTCTTCTCACCAAAATGTGCAGTTTTTTAATCTCTTTTAATCACTTTTTTTTTGGCTCGAGAAAAGTTTTACAAATATAAAACCATCATGGATCAAAAATTCCTAATCAAAAAGGTCATAATTGACCTTGTTTGCAGTTCAAGGTGTCAACAATTTTACAGATGTGTCTTTTGATTTTTTTGCTGCAATACCACGAGTGGCCACAGGGGAAAATAGGACGCAAGGCTGAGTGGCATTCATGGGAGACTGCAATTTTCAGCCCTGGAGGTTGCTGCTTGATACTGACCCCTGCTGGCAGTGTTAGCAAGTGCTGAGAAATGACGCTGGAAATGCCTCTCAGCCTTTGGCCTGCTGATAATTGTACTTTATTCAGAGCTGAACAAGATATTTAGATATTTGGTACTGACACTGTGGATTCAAGCAGACTTTGAGGGAGTAGTTTTGAGTGCAATATTTCTGCCCAGGCAAAGCACAGATGTTTCCTCACCCATATAATAAAAAAACTCTATATCTACACAAATCACAAGGGAACCATATCTTGAATCCAACACTGAGGGATTTTGAGTTTGCAGCTATGAGAGTAGAATGACAAATGTTTTCTGTTAGTCCCTGCAGATGGATATAGCATTTCAAATTGTAACTCCTGACTTGTAGTTTGATACAACTGTCACCACAAAGACCACAAACATTTCTACGCATGACATAAAAGAGCTTTAAATTCACATTTCAGAAAAGGGATGGCAGCCAATCCAGATTTCCATTCAAGCTAAAGGCTCAGTGGAGAAGACGAGGTCGTCCGCTTCTCAGATTTGGTGCTGGGATTGGCTTTTCATAAGACAGCAGACTTCTTGTTTTTTTGTTGTTTTTTTTTTGTTTATCTCGTTCCCACTCCTAACTCCCTCTCTCCATCTCTCTCTGTGTGTCTCTCTCTGCCTGGTAATCAGGATCAGCTACATATGGCCGCAGCAGCCAGACTTTTGCTTCTGAGACTCGATGTAGTCGTGTATCTGGAACTTGGGCTCATTTGGCTGCTGTGTCACTCTGTGCTTCAGCTCCCTGATGGAGAGAGACACAGGAAGTTAGAAACAGAGGGGGTGGACGTGTGGGATGGAGCACAGGCAGGGTGAGCAAATCAAGAAAATGAGAAGGGAAGAGGAATAAAACAGCAAGTGAGCGAGGGAGAGAAACATCTATCTGTACTCAGATTTAATCAAAATGCCTCTGGCATGAATCACTTAATCTAACTTGCACTTGAAATACACATGAAGATAGCAAATCACCCACATCACTTTCTTCCACAGCTCTGGGAACGTGCTGCACAATCAGTCATTATCAATCCGTTTTTATATTTCCTGCCTTTCAATAAGAAAAGGTGTGTGTGCGCAAGGAAGTCAGTCAAAGGTAGAAATTACACAGTTAATGTTAAGATCTACAGGGAGCCTCAAACATGCAGAATGCCATTATAACGAGTCAACAGGAACAAACAAGAAATTAGCCAAAAACCATTAGAGTGTATTAGTAGCAGAAATCAGAGGGAGGCTCCTGAGTGTTGACGTCAAGTCAAAGAAAAGTATAAAAACACCCAGAGAAGAAGAGCAGAGTAAGTCTGTGTGCATGAAGAAGATTAAAATACAAACCCTTTATGTGGAACCTCAGAGGAAGACTATGAGGTCATGCTCCAGAGGCACGACCCCAATTCAACTGGAAATTAATTTTGGTTTTTCTACTACGAGCAGAGAAAGGTGCACTTTTAATACCATCTGTAGAAACATTAATTTTCTTACCGCCAAGAACTACATAAAAGAAGATGTAGCCTTTGAAGCGTAAAATATTTGTTTTGGGGATCACTTGTAGATGAGTCTGGAAATGAGAAAAGTGCAAATAACTTCTCTGTGAGAAGCGTACTCGCTTTCTTTCTTTCTTTCTTTGCTGTTAATTTCCTTTACTCATTGTCGTTTTCTCTCATTTAGGTGGGTGGCGGGGTGTAGAGAAAGGTCTACTCTACAGACTTGCCACCTGTCGTGTCTTTGAAGCATTTTATAACCACAATGTGAACAGACCTTGATTTAGAGCTCAGAATAAAGACACACAAACTGATTAACCAGTCACGTCTAAAATAAAAATACCTCCATCCTTCAGGGATATTTAAGTAGCTACACACGCATTGTGTTAACTTGTACTACATTGAATAATAGAATGAAATGGCCAAAAGTAAGTGGACACCCAGGCATCCCCACCCATATGTGACTGTTGAGCGTTTTATTCTAAGACTACAGACATTAATAAATCAGCTTAACTGCACAGGTTTTCTCTCATTCTCTCGCTGTTTCTGTTTCCTGCCAGGCTTGTGTGTGGCAGGGGGCGTGGCTGGCTCTTCCCACTGCAGCTAATGAGGCACACCTGTTTCCACTCGACTCATCAACTACATATACCCGGTCTTCATTCCACTGCTCTTCCAGGTAATTCCATCTGTGTCTGTAATGCCAAGTGTACTCTCTTCCAGTGTTGCTTCTCAAGTGATTTTTTTCATGCCTTATGCATTTCTGTGATTACTTGTATTTTTGCCCTGTTTTCCAAAGGCTGCCATGATCCTCACAATTGCCAGTCTCAATGTTTACAGTACCGGAGTGTTTTTACATGTGCTCAGCCCTCATGTCACCTCTGTCCACCGGTGGACAATCTCCTAGCCAGCCATCTCCCTGCCTCCACTACCTGTAATTTTCTTTGTCCTTCACCAATAAACTCTTTTGTTTCCATACACCTGCGTTGGTCTCTGCTTTGGGGTGCAGCCAGAAACCAAAACCTAACAACAAGAGTGTTATTGTGAGGCTGGGCTCTGATGTCAGGCAATAGAGTCAAGGGTTGCCTTAGTTGACCAAACCATAGTCGACCAGAAAGGTCATTAGTCGGCAAGATTTCATTGGTCTCTTAGTCGTAGAAAAACAAAACAAAACAAAAAAGAAAACATGAAACTCTGTTAGGAGCTGTGCCTTGTCAAAATAAATCAAATCCTATTTGACTGGACCATGTGTGATTTTATTTTGATAGGACAGATACAGGAAGTTTCCACTCTCTGCAGTCAGTTAGGATTCAGGTTAATTTCCAGGGCTGGTACCTGCGGTTACTCCACAGGCTAGTTAATAACATGTCGGGCAGGAAATCCAAAGTGTGGGATCATTTTGAGAAGGTGAAGGACGAACCCAAGGTGATATGTAAACTCATCTTCATTGGTCGACTACAAACATGACGTATCATCTGAAACATGGAAGTAGCTACATGCCCATTAGCCCACAGCGTCATTAACAGGCGGCTCGCTCAGTGTGTGACGTGCACTTGTAGATAAAATATAGGCCTATATTAATGAAGGTTCATTAGGACGGTTTTGTATTTCTCTGTAATGTAGCACAGTGTTAACAATGTTACTGATACTATTCTTTGTCACACCTTCAACTCAAACCATTGTGTTGCCCTGCCCAAAATATATCATCTAATAATTAAATTAATATTGTAAACATGCAGGTGACTAGTTGACTAATGGCCCTAAATCGCGACAATTGGTTGACTAGGAAAATTCTTAGTCGGGGGCAGTCCTATTAAAGTTTGACTCAAGGGTAGGCAACGCTCTTCTCCGGTGGCTCCCTGTAGCTTTGACCAAAAATGTTATGGAAATGAATGTGTTATTTTTTAACACGCAATTTTCATTTATCATTTTAGTAGCCCTAAAATAATTCTTACATTTTCCAGTTGTATAAATGTGTAACATCTCGCCGACTATGTACCTCATACGTCCACTGTCTGGGACCTTTTCCTAAACTTTGCAGAATCTGAATAGCGATGGCTAGTCTTATGTCTCCTGAGTGAGGCTAGCTTTTGATTCCAAAACCAAAAAGGAAAATGTTGTTTTTTTGTATATCTTTTATTGAGCAGATGGATTCCACATCTACATTTAAGGCTAATGTTTCTGAACATTACCGTTGTGCCTGACACTCTAAGATTTAAAGGAAATCAAATGTTGTAATAGGCACAAAGGTAAGACTGAATAAGGTAGTAAAAATAAAGTGCAATTGCAAGCAAGCTGACCATTTTCCCCATAATCACAGGCCTACCCTCCCATACCCACACCACTTCTCCACTCCTCCCACCTCCCTCCACCCACAGAGACCCATCAATCTTCAGTCATCTCAGTTGTTGTACAGTGTGTGCTGCGGTTTGGACTGTTGTGCTAGGTTTGTGGCTTCAAGGTATGATATGAGGGGTTTCCAGGTTTTATTGAATTGTTGGAGCCCATCTTTCAGGGCACATCTTATCCTTTCCAAATGGAGTGTGTTAGTTAAATCTCAGAGGTAGGGACAGTTCCATAAAATGAGAATTAATTTCTTTGACGTTATGAGGGGATAAGAGAGAAAACTCTGCTGTGTGGCATTAAGCTTTCTGAAGGTCTCAGATATTCCGAGAATAATGAGCAGAGGCTCTGGCTTGATCACAGTGTTCATGACCTCTGACATAATGCTGCAGATATCAGTCCAAAAAGACTGAACTTTGAATATAAAGCAAAGCTATATAGAAGTGCTGCCACAGAAGACCAGCATGTTAAGTGCCAAATAACCATAAATAGCCCTCTGTAGAGTAGCTACTTTTTTGTAAAACATATTAATAAATGCTCATTTAGACCTATTGGGAATGTTTATAGGCTAATTTAAATTAATTTAAATATGTTACCGTTACTATAAGGCACAAATATGTATTGTGGCTCCAAACAGATTTTTGAAAAACTTTTTTCACCATTTTTTTGTCATGGTCCGTCAAGTTACCTAGATTCATGTTCATTTATCATCCCTGTGTTTTCTGTTTTATTTTAATAACTACTGTCTCATCTCGTTGCAGATCCAACGTCCTGTCAAGTTTCCCTCCTTCGTGATTCCTTGCCCCGCCCCAATGTGTTTCACCTGTGTCTCATTGTCTCCCTTGTCTAAGTTGATTTAAGCCCGTCTTCCCCTTGTTTGTTACCAGATCGTCTTGACCCTTGAGTAGGAGTTCTATTGTTTCCCTAGTGTTCCCTCTGTGTGTGTTTTTGACCCTTTTTGCAAGTTCTTTTCGGATACTTTTGCCTGTGTGACTGACCCTTGTACCAAACTTTGCCTGATTAAAAACCCTGAACTTTCATCTGAGTCTGAGAGTCTTCTTAGTGAGTCTATCTCCAGTTTGTGGTTGATCATTTTTTGTGTTGTTTTGATAATAAAGGTTGTCTAACTCAAAGTCAGCGTTCAAGTTTATCCTTGCTATGTTATATAGGACAGAGGTAAGGGCTCTGTGCAGGACAGTCAAATTCATCCACACGAGTTTAAAAAAGTTACTTATGGTTGGGGTGGGTGGATCAATACCAAAATATTGATAATACATATACTACGTTTTCATTTTGAAGTTGCCAACAGCACTGATACCAAAAGAGAGATCAGTTTCTCTCCTCAACATTGTACAAATTTGTATTTCAAGACAATAACTGCATGTGTAAACAGTGCTCTGTTGTCACAGACATGCCAACTGCATGTACTCTTTGCTTCTCCACCAGCTGCATAAGGAAGTTACGACAGGCCCTAGTGCACGCTATCCTGCATGTAGTGTCTTGACAAATAAAGGCTTGACATTGTACAACATTGGCTTAGAGATTTCCCAGCAGTCGTCAATGCATATCTGACAAAAATATCAAAGAAAGTAAAAATTTCATTACTTAATTGAATAGTTTTTATAGTATATTTTTAGTTTTTATAGCTTATATAGAAAAAAGCATTTTTGAAACAATAAAAAGAAAATAGAGAACCATGACAGATGGTTTTGCCTTTTTGAGGACATATATAGCAAATGGTACCATATTTAAATGAATAATAATCTTTTTGTTATCATTTAACTTTGAATACAGGAATATTTCCAAGGTGCCAATCTGAATCACCTGCAAGGGCCTGTTCTCTCTACAGGCCCCTCCACCCCAGGGCCTGCACTGTCTATATTTACGCCCCTGTTGTTGTTGTCATTTTGTGTGCACTCAAACAACATATATGTGTTGCACTGCAGTGCACATCGTGACTAGTTTAATCTGATTCATAATTGCAGAGATGGCTGAATGAAAAAAAAGAGTTAAAAAGCATGAGTAAGAGATCTTGGTGCTGTGACACAAAACAACGGAGGAGGAGGGAAATGTGTCAGCATCCAGACCCCTGACACACAGACGAGACAAGAGTCAACTGTCTTTTCAGAGGCTCAGAGGAGGAATATCCACGTATATTGTCGTGAAACTATTTTAGTCAAATCAGGTCTTCAGCAGTGGTAAATTTTACATTTTCAAACTGTAAGTAGTCATTATTAGCTGTTACTGATTATTCACCTCATAAATCACGACACACTGCTCACCTTTACAGGAAAGTACATAATGCTGCTTTTAATCATCAGTATCAATATTGGTGATTCTGGCCCTGTAACACTTGGTATCAGACTGAATTTTGTGGTACCACCCACCCCTAATTTAAGGCCCTCACTTTGTGCAGGAGGGCATGTAAACACAGCTCTTCCTTAACCCTTTGAAACCTCAGCAAAATCAGCTTGGTTTCTTTCAAAAACATGGGAAGAAGGCAGTGAGCAAATGTAGAAGAAACTACCCCAAAAATAAGCAAGAAATTAGTAAAGAGAGAAAATTAAAAACAAAAAAATTAGTGGGGAAAAAAGAGAGGGGAAAAAAAAGTAAAAGTAAAAAAAATAAAATAAGGAAATGATCTCCAAAAGGAGCTCAAATTTATAATAATTCTGTAACATAATTCTAAATATATAATAATGATAATTATAAATATCAGCGCCCCCCCCCCCCCACAGCTTTTTAAAAATAATTTTCTATTATTATCTTTTTGTGTGTGTGTGTGGAACATTTCTTAACCAAGTTGCTCATCGCCTTTTTTTTTTCATGTTTTTGAAAGAAATAGCACCAATTTCCTCGGGTTCAAAGATTTAAATACTTGCGAAAGGCGTCTGAAAACAGAAGAACAGTGATGTTGCTCGCAGCTTCAAAGTGTTAAACTGTTGCCACAAAGAACAGAATCACTTAACTGGAACCAAGGAAATCAAATTTTCTCATTTTTTATTTTGTTATTTTTTTCATGTTGTGGAGGTGTGTGTGGTCAGGAGTAAGATGCTGGGGACAGATGTGGGAGGATGTCTCATGAGAGCAGCACCAGGTGAGTTGATCGTCACAGCTGCTGCTGGTTTGTGCTGATTACATCTCTCCCTTTTTCATGCAGCAGTGTGCTGGCCCTCAGATGAGTGCAGCCCAGACTGAGGAGAAGGACACTGCCTGAGGTTTTAGTTTAAGACTGAATGGAGTGAAAGATGTCGACGACGACGACACCAGATGTACTGGTGGAGTTGTAGCAGCCACAGGCACATGTTGTGGACTGATTTTGTCGTTGTATGCTGGGCCGCAGAAAATAAAAGTATGGCATTTAGATGAAGTGCTGAATCTGTGCATCTGTGCTGGGGAACTCACAGAGGGAGCAAGACGGCTACACGTTTATTAATTGCAGGGTAAATTAGCATCTGATCATGAAACTCTTCAACCTGCATTAATATTTTTTTGGCCGCATGAAAACGCAGAGATCCAAAACACAAAACTGACATAATACACCCATCTTACTGGTACTTTGTAGCCTACAGTTGCCTCTTTACACATCCAGCAGACACATAGTAACATTAGCATTGATTTAGAGTTGTGTTTCTGGCCTTTTGATAAATGTCAGTCCAATATTTATTCTCTTTTAGCTCTGTTTTTGGTCCCTACCACCTCCAAACAGAAATATCTTTTAGCTGCTATATTCTCCGCTGTGTTTAGCAGCTAGTCCCTACTTTTGACTGTCTGCATGAGCTCTCTGCTGATGCTGGAAACAATGATGACAGCAGTGAGAGTGAAGCTTAAAGAAATGCTCTGCAGAGCTGAAGAGAACTGCAGAGTCAGGTGGTGACTCTGAGCTACATCTTATACATTACACTTAGTCACTTCATCCACTGCTAATATAAAAATATTGATTCATGCAGCTTTAGGACTTACTTTGCTATAGCGAGAAAGGCCAGCTCCACATTGACTCCTGTCTTCGCACTCGTCTCCATAAATGGTACACCATATTCCTATGATGGAAAAACATTAGAGGAGTGAGTGGAGTGTCTCCTGTTGAGAATATGACCCCATGGAGCCATACATTACCTTTGCCAGCTTCTCTCCGTCCTCCGTCTTCACGACCCTCTCTGCAGCCATGTCTGACTGTAAGACAGCAGAGAGAGAAAACAAGTCATCACAGCGGAGGTGAAGGGTCACAGTTTCACCACGCCATTAGCTACAGCTGATGCACCATCGTGTCAACTGGCACGTCCTCATCTCTGCCGCCAGCCTCTGAGCCAGAGCTCCTCCAGACTGATGAGATGTCAGAAACTCCACCTCTAGAAAAAGAGCAGCGCTCCCATAGACTGATGCCGGCAGTCCTGCTACTCTCACAGCAAATGATCTGAGCTGCTGCTGTGTGACATCTCTGACCCTGGAGAAGGTTGAGTCCTCTCTGAGCCACCAGAGGGAGCTTAGAAATATATCAGCTGTGACTGCTGGTTGCAATGAGACATAACATTTTCATTTTCATCACCAGCAGCACTGGGAAGGAAATGGTTACGTGCAAGGGAAGCTTGAGGCGAAGTGATAAGTCATTTCTGTGGCGGACTTTGTTTGTATCCTCAGTCATAATGATCAAATAACATTGGGTAATGGGTAAGAAATTAATGTGTTGATGTGGACAATTCTGTAAATGGACCAACTTTATTTTCACCGCAGGGAAATTCTCCTCACAGACCAAAACATAAATCAATGAAGACACACAAACACATTTAAGACTGCGTCTCACTTGTAAATGTTAAGCGACTGAGAGTTTTCATTCATGCATGTGCTGCATGGTAGAGGCGTTTTCTGGCTCTTAAGCATTCACATGTCTGCCTGAGTGTGATAATAGCGTGTTAAAATTGTGCTAAGAGACCAGTTATCCTCCTGATCTTTTTTTATGTAACGCAAAAAAAGGAAGCTTTGCTCACCTTGTTGCCGAGCAACATGATGACCACATCCTTCTGGGCATACTCATGTATTTCAGTCAGCCAAGCCTTTCAAAGTATACAAGACAGACAGATACAGGAGGGGAGGAGAAGGAGAGATTGGTCCATAAACAAAACAAATACCACCACTTAAAGTCTGCATTTTCTGCTCTCCTCCTGAGCCGTGCATTATTACCGTCCTCCAATCAATCACAGTGAGACTGAGTCACTCTTATCCTTGAACACTTTTATTGCTTTTCATTACTGAAACTGGGGACTGTGTAGCGAAGCAAACGATAACATCATGTCATTTCCAAAGAGGGCTGTGAGAAAATGTTGCAGGTCCTCGAAGTACTTTGCATGTAAACAGACAGAGTGAGGCGTTCAGCTTGAAAGGGTTTTAGGAAGTGAAAATGAAAAGAGAAGAGAGAAAGAGAAAGAGAGTGGGAGGGAAAAGTAATTTGATCCAGCCTTACCCTGATATTGTCAAACGACATCTTGCTGGTGATATCATAAAGCAGAAGTAACGCTGTGAAAGGAAACAGAACACCTTTATTGTTTTCTGCACACTGTCTTATGCAACACACACATTGACACCTACACACACACTTTCTATGCACAATAATAAAAAGTAAACATCTCAGCCAGGTGGCAACCCTTACCTACACCACCTGCTCCCACACACTAACACACACACAGTATAGCGAGCATGAGGAAGTGAAATATAAAAAGGAAAGGTCACCCTGGGCATCTCTGTAGTAGGCGTGCGTTACGCTTCGGAATCTCTCTTGGCCAGCTGTATCCCAGATCTGCGTAACAAACCACATAATTACACAGCAGCTAATGTGGGAAAACTGAACATCCTGAACAGTCCAAACTGCAAATCCTCCGCAGCCAAAAGCAGAAACATACCATTATAAGCTACCACCTTACAAAGCCGAAATATAAAAACTATATATTTAGTCAGTCAGGATCTGGTGTTATTTTAACATAGAACAAAAATAAGCTGTATTATTTTAAAGAAAACAGCTAAAACATAAACTGTCAAAGCAAGAGAGCCATTTTAGCTGCTTCAAACATGCTGGTCAGGTGAGTCAGATGCTAGCTGCTTTAGCACAATTTACTTCTGTAGCCCCTAAATTGAGCATAGCGTTAGTTCAGGCAGGACACGATGTCAAGCTCAGCTCACATCCCAGCTACATCAGCTGATCTCAAACAGCCCAATCAACTGATGGAGCTGCTGATAGATGGAAGGGAGTCAGTTGATGAATCACATGATTCCTTTCTATGAAACCAATTGGTTAATCTCATCCAGGGCGCCCTATTTAAACTGCTCTGGCCTGCCTACTGTTGCTGCTTCCTCTGTATGCTGCTTTGCAATGTGCCTCCACCCCAGCTCCTCCTTTTCATGCTGTGTCTGCCTTATCAATGTCATTTCTGTTTGTCATTGATGCTGCTCTGTTCTGTTCCCGGGGGGTCTTTGCTGTTTGCTCTCCCTGCCTTAGGTTTTCCATGTAGGCGCATGGAAGGGCAGGGAGGTTTGCTCTCTCTGCCTTAGGGACCATACACATGCTGCAATTTTTTTGCGCCCTCAAATTAATTGCTTTCAATGTAGACGGGCAGCAGGCACACTGAAATGCCAGAGTGGCCCAAGTTTAACTTTTGGAACGTAGCAGTGCGCACGGCATGTCATGTGACGAGGAACGACCAATCACAACCGACAGATACCTTTACCTTCTTCCGTAAATATCAGTCTGTAAACATGGAAAAGTTGATCATTTTAGAGCAGGGTTACCCAGAGCTTTACATCTGTCCCACGGATGACAGGCCTACACACTTCTAAACAGCACTTGGAAGAAGATCAGCTCTGCACTCAGGATTTCAGGTAAACAGGCTATGATACAGTGCTTCTTAAGTTTGCTTAGCAGCCTCAGACGCAATCTGCCACAGCGCTCTTGAAAGCTGGCACAAAAAGCCACAAAAGTAACGCCCAGCAATTGACCTTGTGTTTTCCAGGCAGTTAAAGACACGGCATGTGTATAACCCCTTAGGCTTTCCATGTAGGCACGTGGAAGGGCAGAGAGGTGTGCTCTCTCTGCCTTCAGACATTCCACATAGGCCTTGGAAAGGCAGAGAGGCCACAGAACAGAGCCATACTGCCAAATTTATGATTGCAAATGGAAATAAAGTTTTATTTGGCTTAAGTTGTCCTGCCTGAACTGTTAGTTGTTTCACACAAATGAAACATATAATTTCTAATTAATGAACATCTTGGTAATTTAGTTACTTATCCCACATAGATAAGGTAGATCTGGTCATAGAGAATAAAAACAGTTAAACTGGTCATGCTAGAACGTAAACTAAGTAGCCTTGTGGTTATGATGATTGACAGGAATGTAACTTAGATGGACAGCTTTCAGTTGGCACATAACCCTGCACAGTTGCTCATATTACTACAATATCAGGCTTTGATCAGATTGGCAATGCAAACAATGACATTCAAGTGAGTATAAAGCATATTTAGGTCAACCATTATTTGTAAATCACTCTTCAGATTATTTTTGATTCTGCATGATCTACCAGTTGACTCAATATGTAGGTCAACAGCTGACGCATGACATGATTTGTCATTTGGTGGTGTAATGTACACTCAGATCTTGAGAAAATGTCCGCGTTCTCACCTGGAGTTTGACTTTGAGGTTGTCGACATCCACCACTTTATTCTGCAGACATGAGAAGAAGAGCTGTGAGAGACTGTCAACCCACCATATGCTTTAAAGACTGGAGTGTTGTGAAAACTGCACAGAAATAAATGACGAACATCACGGCAGACTAAAAAAAGCTTAGAGACTCAGCATGTGGTAAAAGAAACAAGACAACTAAAAGTGGTTTTGAATGCTGGCAGAGAAAGTAATTTGCAACACCCACACAACAACAAGGTCCTGGGATTAGACTTAATTACACAACAGTGAGAAAGACGACTGGCAGCATAACAACTGACTCCCCCGTTAATTTCCTGGAGCCCCGTAGGGGTGCCCTCTGATTTCCTGTAGAGAAAAGATTGGCTTAAAATAGTTTAGGCACCCCGCAAGAAAAAAAAGGTGACGCGTGTGACCGATGAATGTGTTGGATTAAGAATGAAGTGGAAATACGGGCTCAGGTGATATGCAGAATTTAACATGCCTGCTCCAACATGCAACACCAAGAACAAAAACACAGGCTCCTTCACACTCTGTTTCATTTACGTTTCATTAAGCTTTCATGACCTGCTACAGCAACAAGCCAGGTCACAACCGCATTCAGCCTTGCACAGCAAAAACCACCACAGAAAGATGAAGGAAGTGCAACTAGCAAATATTCTGCAGCACTTCCTCAATCACTTCATCACCTCGTATCAGTGACAGGTCAACACAAACAGCCCCTGCCTTTCCTGCGAATGCACAAGCACAAACCAAAAGAAATGCAGACAGAGCTAAAGAGAGTGTTAACGCTAAATCTGCCACCTGCTGAATCCTCTGCCTTGCCAGAATGGACATGGTTCAACCCCTGCATTAGTTGCCATGGGTTTCCATTTTTCCCTCAATTATGACGTGAGAGGAGCCTGCATGCTGAGTAACTGCTACAAGGAAGCATGCCGAAAATAGACCGGCCATGTTACAAGCTGCCACAACAGCCTGCCTGCCTATCCATGCACAGAGGACAACCTCAGCATATTGACTCAACTGCTCCTCTCAGACGACTCTGTTTCTAAGCAGCTTTGCTCCTCTTCATAACAAGCCAGAAAATGGTAATTGCTTGCATTAAGAGCCATTCTTCTGAATGAATAGCATGACACTAAACTCATCGTGTTTTCTGCAAGTGTAAACCAGTGTGTGTTCCCTTTTGTAACGCATTTTATGAATGGAGACTGGCTGCAGTACTTGTTGCTTTTGCCTGAGTGGTGGTAAGACTGCATGTCCACGCTTCTGAATAGACAACGTCCATATACCTCTATCTGTCAGACATCCATTACGCTCCCTAATGTCTACACCGCCATCCAAAGAAGACAATACATCACTCAGGCTAATGCAACACAATTTCCTCCTCGAACCACCCCTACTTGACTTGCCATTAGTGTGAGTGTTTTCCCATGATTGGAGGGAAACAGGAGGTCGAAACACTCGCTCCACGCCGCCTGTTTTCATGTTCAACCCAGCAGAGGAAGAGATGCTGTACAGTAGAAATCTGCTCCAAATTCAGTGACAGTCACTGCGTGGGTCTGTGTGTGTGTGTGTGTGTGTGTGCGTGAGGTGTATGTGACTAGGAGCTTGTCTGTCAGCAGTGTGACTCCTCCAGGACCGAGCTGAGCTGCAGCCAATCTCTCCAGGAGACAGAGACGTGGGCAGGCACCTGCCAAGACATTTATGAGGCAGTCCGCAGAGCCTCGCAGCACAAGTGGTCTGTGAACTTGACTTATTGGTGAGATGGTTTGTACATTTGGCACCATCATCTCAGAATGACGAAGTGTTCCGCTCGTAAATAGGGTGATAATTGGTCCGCAGTCGCTCTAACAAGTGGATCCTTTGTTGCTTTGTAAATATCATTAGGGATTGTTTCTCATGACTATTTCCTCATGATAGTAGCAAGCATATAACACAAACACAGAAATAATGAATAATGAGTCATTCTGTGAGACGCTTCAACAGCATCTCTGTCTCACCCTAAAGTCTATTCCAACGGTGGCTATAAAGTTGCCTCCCAGAAATGCCCCATCTTTAAAGCGCACCAAGACGCATGTCTTCCCCACAGACGAGTCTCCCAGCAGCATCACCTAAAGAGCAAACCCACCACCAGAGAAGAGGGACAGCAGGTTACACTGGGCCAAAGACATGACTGACAGTTCATACATGATAAGATAAGAATTACAATCTCCTCTGAAGAGGAAATTAAAGCTGAGGAGTGTGTTGCATAAATGATTTTGCAATTAAAGGTCCAGTGTGTAGGATATGGGGGGAGATACTGGCAGAGATTAAATATAATATAATAAGCATGCTTTCTTTAGTTCAGTAAAAATACCGAATCTGACTTGTTTTAACATAGAATTTAAAAAGAATATTTCAAAGACAAAACCAAAGCCTCAAAACAAGAGCACCAAATTTGGCTAGATAAGTTAGCTGCTGGCTGCTAAAGCTAAATTTACTTTGGTACTCTGTGGTTGTTTCCTGTAAATGAAATACATTTATAATCAATAATTAACATCTTGGTAATAAATACCTAATAGAGAATAAAAACAGCTAGCCTATACTGTTATGCTAGTAGGCTGAGTAGCCTAGTTTAGCAGAGTGGCACAACTGAACATCCTCTTAGCAATCCTGCACAGGCAGCAACCATAGATGCATAATAATTACTAGATAGCAGCTGCCAAGGTGGCGCCTATTCACTCCAATGGAGTTACTTGCATAGTGCATATGCCAAAAAGGTTTCTAGCCCCACCCATGAGTTCTCACTTGGCTCCTAGACTTAACATTGCTTTTCTCAACTTCACAAAAGTTTTAACAATATATAAAACCACCATGGCTCAAACATTCATAAAAAAGGGTCATAATGTTTGCAGTCTGAGGTGCCCTGTCTACGGTTTTACAGACGTCTCTTTACAATGCTCGTCTCTGTGGGAAAAAGTTTTTAGGCCACAGGGGATTTTTTAGCTGTTGTAATACCGCGAATAGGCCAATGGATAAATTGAAAGCAAGGCTGAGCGGTGTTCCTGGGGACCTGGCCAGGGGCGTTAATATAGATTTTCAGAGACTGAACAATGGGTTGGGTGGAGAATGGGCCTGTATGAGTGACTGCCAACTTGAAAATATGCCTGTGTTCAAAGACGAACCATCAATAAATTAGAAACAGTGCCACTTGATAGACATGCACTTAAAAAAGGCAAATGTTTCTTTTACTTTTTTTGTAGATAGTCAGTAGCATCTATTACAAAATGTTATGCTGATTCTATAACTGTGAATCAACCATAAAAATTGTTCAAATAAAGTAATAATTTCCTATTTTCGTTGGTATTTTTTTGTTATACACAGATATGCGATGATGATTGCTGCGTGACATGTATGTTGATGTTATCCAATGTCAAGTTTCTGATCATGCACAATAGCGTGCACTGGGGCCCAGTAATTACCTTTCACCACAGGGCCTGGCTCCAATGAATGCTGAAGCATAAGCCTATGTTTCCACAGTAGCCCAGAAAAGACAAACCAGGTAGGGCCTACATAGGGCCATTTGCATTTTAACATTTTTGTGTCTGCCACTACAGTTAGCTACACCTCTGTCACAACAGCGACCACTTATTTTTTAACGCAAACCTGCTGTATTCAGTGTTTTTACCAGTTTCAATCACCTGGTCTATTTGTTTTGGAGACAGAAAGACCTCTGCGGATAACTGCATCAACTGCAATCACTGCTAGATGCCACTAGACCACCCTAAATCTTACACACTGTTCCTTTAAGTGAGGAAAATATTTCACAACTGGGATCATGATGTTGGAGTCAGATGATAATTTCGTGCAATGTCTTATTTTGGTTAAGATTTCAGTTCATTATATGGCAACTGCAGAAAGTGTTGTGATCTACTGTGTGTGTCTGAGCTGCCACCAACATGTGACACTGTTCAGGAGAGAGGACTCAAGGTGCTGGAGCCAACTGTGTAATTTTAACTCATCATTTTTCAGTCCCAAACTAATCAATATAATTACAACAACAGGGGTGTGTGTAATTATACAATCCACCCAGCGCAGATATTCCCACAGTGAATGGCTGCCTCGCTGTGCAGATAATAATGCAATTAAACTTGAATTTAACTTTGCCTTTTGTCTGTGGCTCTTTCATTAGACAGTTACAGGTGTGCCCGTGCTGCTTTAATCAACACTTAATGGGAGGGAGCAACAAGTACACCCTCAGCAAATATTTGCGTGTACAGAAGGGCGGACAAAGCGACCTCGAGAGATTTTAAAGGCTCAAAGAGACTTCACATTAAAGCATCAGTGTCTGCTGTGTACAGTCACTGATCATGGCCTGGTTAATAAGGAGAATGCATGATAGTTAATGCTTTTCACTCATTCTCCAGATGTTGTTGCTGCAGGTACACCCAGTTGTTTCTGTGTCAAAGCTACATTTAGACACCTGTTCCACCACAAAGAAGAAAAACAACACACAAGATAAGGACGGAGATACACACCTTGAAGGCAATATCATAATACTCGTTAATAGAAGCGCATCTCTCCAACACATATTTTGACGTCCCGTTTTTAGCCTGCTTGTCCGTCAACGATGTCTTCCTTGTGGACATCGCAATGCCAAGAAGAGAGCGCGGGCTGAGGAAGCCAAACCACAGTTATCTCTCCGAGATGTGTCCAAAGAAAGAAAAGAGACGCGCACGGTGTGTGTGAAGATCAGTCCCGGTCTCCGCCAGCCTCCAGCCCCTCTGCTCGCATTACTGCGTGTGGCCACAAAATGATCACCAGGCGCTTCCCGAGGAGAGAGGAAGAAGGAGAAGAAGAAGAAAAAAAATCACACTTTGATATCGCACTGTCAAAAAGACGGAAGCGACAGGTCAAAACTTGAAAAACAATCGGCGGCGGCGTCTAACATCCACCAGTCAGGAGAGAACGCGGTGATGACAAACAAGCGGAAACATTTCTCTGCATCCTGGCGTGGGCAGATGATTAACTGAGCACGTGAGGACGTCGGCAGCTCCGACAACACTCAGGGTTTCTTGTGAGTGAGAACATCAGTCTGTCTCTGAGGCTGACATTGTGCCCAATGACAGCTGCGGGGGTCAAGCGCGCTGATGGCTGACTCATCCGCCACAGGTGGTGCTCGATCATTGAGAGGGTCAGAGAGGAGAGGAGGAAAGAGAGGTGGGAAGAGGCTGAGCTGTGAGCTATTAGTTTAAACACACTTGATGTAAAGCATGACATTTCCTCCTTCAGATATTGTTCATTCTGTTGCGTAAAATGGCGCGCAAACCTTATCCAGAACCCTTTATTCAAACGTTTCCTTCATGAACACCTCAGAAAATTACCCACAAGACCATTTTATATTAACAAAAAGTAGTTCCCATTTGTGATTGCTTCTTATCTACCCATATTTCTTCCATTTAAATCCCTCCACACAGCAGGCAAACAAACAATTACCCAAGTCTCTTCTTGTCAAGAACAAATGATTCTATAAATACCCCCAAATCCCCTCATTTAATTAGCATGTCATACATGTCTAAAATGGTTTCACTCAGTCTAAAAATGAATCTTTTCCTCTAGTGTTTGTCTCCCCCCAGTGTTCAAGTCAAGTCTCCGCTCCTCTCTGAGTGCTGACAGGACTAATGACACATGGTCAGAGATCATTCATGTTATGCAATCTCTTGTCCAAACATATGAAGTCATCAGTCTGTGTCAGGGGCGGCTGCAGGCAACATCTCACCCCTCTGACATCAACATGGTGATGAAACGTTGAGTTGTGGATGGAGATGATTGAATGGTTGGTTTATTATCACTAGGGTCAAAGAGCAGTTCTGGTATGTGGTTTATATGAAAGCTGTAAAGAGAAGTGTATCTAAATGTCAAAAATGTTCCTCCTTGTGTTCATTTAAAGGGACAGCTCATCCCCAAATATAAAAATACATATTTCTCATCTTACCTGTAGTGCTGTTTATCAGTCCAGATTGTTTTAATTTGAGCCGCAGAGTGTTGGAGATATCAGTCGTAGGGATGTCTGCCTTCTCTCAAGTATGTAAGTATAAAATTGGCTTTGCCATTTTGCATTAGCATGAGTTTGTATGATTCAAACTTCAGAAAACTCTGCAGAATGCACCAGAAACAAAATTAGTCACTCTACTGCGTACGTCTCCTGGATTTAAAGTCAAGAGTAAGACGACACCTGCAAATACACTCTGATCTTTGTTTTGTTTTTTTACTTTATTTTGGTAGAGCTTGGTTAAGATAATCACAGTTAAGTGCCTTAAAGGGACAGTTCACAATTGTTCCTCTTACCTGTAGTGTTATCTATCAGTCTAGATTGTTTTGGTGTGAGTTGCAGAGTGTTGCAGATATTGGCCGTGGAGATGTCTGCCTTCTCTCCAGTATATTGGTGGTGCCACAAAGCGCCTAAAACTGCATTTGAAAAACTCAACAGCAATGTCTCTTTCCAGATATCATGACCATGTTACTCAAGATAATCCACAGACCTTGGTGTGAGCAGTTTCATGCAGGAACTGTTTTCTTTCTACCAAACTAGACTCGCCAACAGCATCACCGCACAGAGGGAAGTGTGCATCTACTTTATTTTGGTAGGGCTTGGCAAAGATAATCAAAATAAAGTGCCCTTAAAGGGACAGTTCACCCCCATATTGCACTCGGCTTGTGGTGCTCAAAGTGCAAAAAAAGAATACATTTGAAATCTCAACAGCAATGTCTCTTTCCAGAAATCATGGCCCTGTTACTCAAGATAATCCACAGACATTGTTGTGAGCAGTTTCATGTAGGAACTTTTCTTCCCTCAGCCAGGTCTCATAGAAAAATGTGAAATGGACACAAAGGCTTACGTGGTGGTGAGCATGAATTATGTTAAAATGTACTGGCAATTGTCACGGTGGACACGCGAATTATGTATAAAGAGCAAGATAGTCTGCATATGGCGGGTGAAGGGGTGGATGCATCAAACAAACATGTATTTTCAACCAGAAGGCTACTGTTCATGTACTTGGTGAAAGATAGTCTGTATAAAATAATGGATGTTGTCACCATGATGTCACCCATTGGTTTGTTGACTGCCTTTACGAAGCTTTGAGTTTGGCATTTTCTGGCCAACTTGTTTTTTTGGTTGTTGTTGTTTTTTTTTTTTTTTGAGCGACCATATTTGGACAAGACCGTGAGGAGCAAGGAGTCCCCCCGTATTGAAGTTAGCTATCGAGACCAAAACCTTTTTTGTACCAGGCTGTAAACATGTCTGATATTAAGTTGGGCATTTTAACATGGGGGTCTGTGGGGATTGATTGGCCTTTAGAGGAACTGCACTACTGCATTGGCTTTATTCCTCAGCCTCAGAGGCTGCTGCTTGGCGGGAAACCAAAAGTCAATGTAGTTATTTGCCTTTACAGACTTTACATAACCATGCAAATTATGTAAGTTTACATCACTTACAGTCTGTACGTAGTTATTTCAGCTGAAACTGGGATCTCTTAATAAACTTCACCAAGTATTTTTTTGTTCTCTTAACCTAACCAACTGTTTTAATTTCCCTGAACCAAAATTTTCTTGTCACAAAATAGAAAGAGACATTGCTGTTGAGTTTTTCAAATGTATTTTTTGGTGCTTTGAGCACCACGAGCTGAGTGCCAGTTAGTGTGATTATGTTGGAGAGGAGACAGAGATCTCTACAGCCGATATCTCCAGCACTGTGCAACTCACACCAAAACAATCTAGACTGATAAACAGCACTACAGGTAAGAGGAACAATATGTACTTTTGATTTTAGGGTGAATTGTCCCTTTAAGGAACTTTATTTAAATCATCTTCACCAAGCCCTACCAAAATATAGTAAAAAAAAAAAAAGATCAAAGTGTATTTGCAGGCGCTGTCTCACTCTTGACTTTAAATCCAGTAGACGTACGCAGCAGAGTGACTTATTTTGTTTCAGTGGTGCGTTTTTCTGCAGGGTTTTCTGAAGCTTGAATCATACACTACCACAAACTCATGCTAATGCGAAATGGCAAAGCCAATTTTATACTTTCTCACAGGTTTCTGCCTCCTCTGTGCTGCTCTAATGGCACTGACACAAAGCCAGAGTTATCACAGCTGAAGACACATACATTAAATGAGCCATACATCTTCCCTGTCTCCATTTGCCTCCACTTGCTGCACAGAATGAAATCCCCCCTCACATGTCACACAGCATAAAATCACTCTTGTTTAAAACAGCTTTGTTACAAACATCCAGCAGCAAACAGCCCGCCGCCACGACTTTCATTAGCAGTACTGTCTTCATACTAATTTAATCATAGCAGTGGCATCATTAACCATAATAATGCACACACACGGAGTGTTAAGGATCGTAATGAATGCAGTGAGAACATCCCACACTGGAGAGCACCACATTCATGCTGCACTTCACTGACACACAAACAGCACAGAAACAGAAAAGGTTTGCTTCACTGTCACATCATGATTTCAGTACAAACAGCCCATCGCAGTGACGTGCCCTTCTCATCACTTGGGTGAAGTCAAAAGCATAACAGAGGGGGAGGGAGGGAGGTGGGAGAGAAAACATGCACAGGAAGGTTTGTGGAGGACAGGAAGTGTGGACTCACTGTGAAACCGATGCCGACAGTGGCAGCGAAGGACCCTGGGATGAACTTGCCCTGGTCGAACTGGACCAGCAGAGAGGTCTTGCCCACTCCGCTGTCCCCCACGAGGATGGTCTGCACAGAGTCACAGAGAGATGCGACATCATGTTTCCACTGCTGCCTCCTCGCCTGAGGCCAAGTACACTGTGTATGGGCACATGGTGTAGGTTACTGTACATGTTCTGTGCTGTCCCTCAGTGTATTGCTCAGTGGTCTCTAATGCAATGTGACGGGTTAATGCCTTCAAGAGGGAAGAGCAACTGGGAAGATGCTGGAGGATAATTGTGTGTGTTTGGGCCTCAAACTGTGCCACTGTATCAGAGATGGCTGCTCACATCTCAGGCTGATGTTCTGCCTTCATTCTTACACTAACAAGGGGAACAGATACATTTTAAAGTATATAAAAACACTCTGCTATGATTAATATATTGTTTAACATGGTTAAAAAAATAGAGCTGGAAGCAGGTCTACCCTTTCTCCCTGACTGAGAAATTCTGAATCTGGCCTTAGCACCGCCTAACACCGCTGCTTGCAGACATTTTTCTTACTGCTTTTACTACCGCTGCCCGCACTAGGTTGACCTGCTGAAAGAGCAGTGTGCATCAAGGTGGCTAGTGTTAGCCCCAGGGCCCAGACACACCAAACTAACATTAAAGAACTGTGCTGACGAAGGCAGACTGTTGTGTCACCTCTGTCTCGGCCAAGTTAAACACAGAACTACAGCCGACGGCCAACAAGCATGGACGCTCTGCGTTTGTGTGAGAGGAAATAACTCCCCTTATCAGCAGACGGCAGTAGTCTGTATTTGTCATTCAAAAAGGGGGAACAGGAAGACAGACAGGACAGATTCAAGGTGCTAGTTAGCCAATTAGCACATTAACAACACAACCTGATGCTGAAAGATCTAAGGATATTTACCGTGCACCAGGGAACAATAACACATAAAATCCTGAACCATTTGTGCTAAAGAGGTCAATGGCTAAAAAAAACGTACCTAATATAACAAGTTTGCTTAGATCTGGCGGCCTGTTGACTTTAGCTTTTTGTTTACTTTCCTCATTCCCGTTTCTCTTCTCGTGCACTCCTAATCAGGGTGATTTCATTCCCAGATGGACTTTGCCTTCTCTGATACTAATTCAATATGCCGCTGACACAAAAATCAGCCTTTGGCATCAAACTGGGTATTCAACTAACTCAAATGTAGACCTATTTTTGGCAATGTTTGACACTAAGAGAAACTGACATCGTATAAAGACCGAGAAGATCTGCACAGGGTGAAAGGGAGAGGAGGTGGACGGGTCGGACAAGCACAGACTTTTAATGTAACCTTATACAACTTAGGTTCGTCCATGATGCACTTATTTTAACCCAAAACATGATGTTTTTCTAAACCCAACCAAGTAGTTTTGCTTAACACATTCTCACTCCAACCT